CGTTTCTGTTTCACTAAATACTTAAGGAACTTCTTAAATATTTACACAAAATTATATATATCTTATTAAAAGATCCAAGCCTATCGACAATTTAAACAAGTTAATTTTAAAACTTTGTTTTAAGATGCCTCACTTTTTGTACCTTACGATTTTAGTTAAATTTGGAATCTTAAAAGGAGAAAAATGAGAAATTTATGATGCACAAAGAGATTAAATTTTTTTCGGGTTATAAGAGCAGGATCGTTCAAACATTAAACATTGTAGGCGTCTGGAAAATGTTGTGACCCCCAGTAAAGACGTCTAGGACATCTTTTTTCCATTTCCAAACGTTATTTGTGTTCGATGCCGTCTAGAAAGCCGTTGGAGGAGTTTTTTTATAATGAGATATTAAAAGATGGTAGCTGAGGGAATGTAATAAAAAACCCTTGGCATTAAAGCAATGATATTAGTTTTTTATGTTCCTTTACACCACTTTTACTGCCGAATTTCAGTAGTGCTTGATCTGTGAATATATTCCCAATATAAACCATAAATATCTAGCTAAAATCTATTTATCAGTCTGGATTTAGGGAGCTTATAGGCAAGGACGTGGCTGTATTTTATAAAAAAAGAGAACATCGATTATACATAATATGGTTTTGAAACTATTATAACATTTTTAGCATTAAATATTTTATATTTTTTGTGAGTAATCCCAACCGATTTGATGGTTTTTAAGTTTTTAAGTTCCAGTATAACTCGTTTAAAAAAATCATGACATTAGATTTATATAAAATGAAATGCACTATTGTATGTGTAAATTATTAGCACCAAATATTTTTATTGTCTTCTACTTTTATGTAGAGTGTTGATATATTGCCTGTGTTTCTAAAAAAATTTCCTCTTATTCTATTGACTTAATATGTTATTATATTGAACTGTTTTTATTTATCTAATTTATTGTCTTTATTTATTATAATAATATCTAGGTTATACCAGTAATACCAACACAAAACAAATAGCAGAAAAGGTCAAGTACTGTAAAATAATAGGGAATGAGAGCGTTATATGAGGGTAATGGAAACGCTGTCACCAAATGAAATACACAATAGATCCTCAAGGGATGCTAACCCTGCGAGCGGCTGCAAGGAATACTGGTCACACTGGTCTGGAGGGCTGGCTCGTCTTCGTGGATTTACGAGAAGATAAGGGATTTCGGGATAGGGGTAAGGACTCCTCGGTCTCAGGTCCTGTAAAGAGTAGAGGTTATGGGCTTACTTTTGAAGCCGGAGATATGTATACGCAGAATCTCGTGTTCTCCTAGTCTCTAGTGAGTCGGACGAAAGGAACATTAAAAAAAACCAAATTAGAGTCAACAATATATTGAATCTACCCTGAAGTTCCTAATACAATCGTTAACACGTTATTCTGCGCGTCGGGAGACGATGTAGCAAGATAGTGAAGAGTTGACAGAGGTACTAATATAATTACACAGGTTAGTATAAGAAATCTGTTACCTTATGTGTATATTAGGGCTTCAACCACGACACGTTCAGTCTTCTGGAACTCGGTCAGTTGAGGGTTGCGAACTTTCGGGCTGCCACAATAACCGGACTACACGCGAATTCTGCCAGAAGATACCCGGCCCCCGGAAAATCACCGACTGTCCCGTACTGGACGCTATCGCGTCCGGCGATCACTGCCCTGGGCGGGCAGTTACGGCGCCCCCGTTATCACTACTGATTGACTGACTACTGACTACCGACTACCCGGCGTCCGTCGTTTCTTCTTGTTTTATTGTGGTCGTACTTTCAACGCCGGTTCTAGTACCAAGGTCGTAGGTTCGCTGAGTTGCAGTTTTGGCGTTATGCGCCTATTTGGGTCACGGCTGTTGTTGTTAATAGTTTCGTGCTTTTTATACGTTTAAACAATTATCAAACAATGCCATAACTAGGTCAATTTCTTTGTATAATTTAAATGTATAAGTTAACTGTATTAATTATCCCTTATTTAATTCGGAATATATAATAATTATCTCGAATAATTATTATCTTTTCTATGCTATTTAGCCATTTATTCCAACTTCTCACTCACTTGCTACGCTCACATTACAGTACTAGAAATATTAACAAGGAAAATGCTATAATCAACCAAAGACTAGAACTACTGCCATAAATCACAATGGACGAAATAAAACTAGCCCCAAGAAAAGGTAAGAATAACAAATCTCCAGGCGAAGCTGGTATTGTTACTGATGTAATTAAAATTAGAGGTGCTTGCCTACTTCTGTAGCCTGGTTTCAAAGATGGCCAACTCCATTTAGCAAAATTTTCGGTATAGGTAAAAAACTATTTAAACTTCTTCCACACAATGGGTACAGTTGAATTTTTTTTTGTTGATTAATAATGATTTCCAGAGCATCTTGGAATATTAATATTTATGCTTTTTACTGTAGTTAAAGGGATATTTTACGTTGAAATATGGAGTTGGCCGTGTTTGTAACCAACATGTGGAGATAGACGTTTTTGTCACCAAAAACATTGCTGATGGTGTCGCTGATATTTTAAGTCAGCAGTAATATACTAAAGATTTTTTTGGTGAAAATAAAAAAAGTTGAAATATGTGTTACAAATATTAATTTATTGGGCTAATACAATATTTGTCAATAAAATTTAAAAACCCGATCAATACACTAACTACAAAAGTTTTTTAGATACCTGCTTGATCGGTAGACAATATCTGAATCTTACAATAATTCTAAATCAAAAGTCCATATCAACTTGGTTGACTTCCATGACTTCATCACAGTCTGCATTATTTAAGCACTTACATTAAGGAAGTGGATTTTCAGGCATCATTTCATTATTGTTTATCACTTCGTGATACCATTTTACATTTCCCATTTCACTCCATTTTTCACCATAATTTTTTTGTAATAAAACCCGCACGTCTTTAATTTTTAACGCATTTACTTTGACTCAAGTCGTAAGTTCAGTTGGGTTTATATTCCACACTTTTTTCCCTGGTCTCATGACACTCAAACTTGAATTAATTGGGAAACTATAGTTTTGTTCGCCACTGACAGTTACTGACTTTTGTTTCTTGGTCAGAATTAACTGTTTGACTTGCGAAATTTTAAAATGAAGGTTTTTTTGGGTCTTTAACACAGTTTTTAGCTTCTGACTTCCAATCTTGGTTGGTTAAGTCTTTTCTTAAAAGTTTGACTGTCCCATGCTTACTAAATTCTGAATGATTCTTTGCAAGCTGCACAATTGTATCTCTTTTCTACTTCGTTCTATGCCACCAAAATTTCTATCACTAGGCATATATGAGTGACCGGTAACAGGAAACACAAGCTCCACTGTAGTGATTGAAGTTTTAGTCCTGTGCAGCCAAGAAATGCACATCGTTAATACAATAGTATTCTTGTTTTGGCCTGGACACCCATCAGCTACCATCCTTAAGGTGTCTTTTCCTTCAAAGTAACCAGTAATTTCGTATTCGGCCCAAGAGTAAATTGATACATTTTCTTTGCGTAAATCTTTGGTTCCAGTAGAACATCCAGAAACTACCGTCAGATTATAGCAGTATAACTGTCTTGAATCACACACGAACCCTGTACCACTAAACAGGGGAGTCAAACAGGGAGATACTTTATCACCCAAACTGTTCACCTTAGTTTTGGAGGACGTTTTTAAAAACCTAAATTGGAAATATAAGGGAATAAACATCAATGGCCGCTACCTCAGTAATCTACGATTTGCAGATGACATAATCCTGATAGCTACTGACCTACAAGAAATGCAAACCATGCTTGTAGAACTTCATACCGAATCTTCTAAAATAGGACTGAAAATGAATTTAAACAAAACAAAAGTCATGCACTCCGAAGACACCGTGACAATAATAAACGATAAAGTTATAGAAAAAGTTGAAGAATATATATACTTGGGACAAAAAATAATCCTAAATAGGAAAATTCAGACTGAAGAAATAAAAAGAAGAAGAAAGTTAGCTTGGGCAGCATTCGGTAAACTGAACTATATACTCAGAAATCAACAAATTCAATTACATCTTAGATCTAAAGTTTTTGATGCATGCATTATCCCGATATTAACTTATGCGGCACAAACATGGACAATCACAAAAAAGAATATGAATATACTTAGAGTCACTCAACACGCGATGGAAAGAGCAATGCTAGGTATATCACTTAAGGACAAGAAAACAAACACATGGATAAGACAGAAAACCAAAGTCACCGATGTGGTGCAAAAAGTATTAAAGCTGAAATGGGAATACGCTGGACATGTAGCTAGGAGCGATCTAAACAAATGGCACAGATCAATTTTAACCTGGAGACCATACCAACACAAAAGACCCAGAGGCAGACCTCCTATGAGATGGACAGATGATCTGAAAAGGACTGCCGGGAAAAATTGGCTACAAGTAGCGTACAATAAAAAACAATGGAAAGGAAGACTTGAAGAGGCTTATGTTCAGATGTGGACGTGAATGGCTAGACGAAGAAGAAAGAAGAAGAAGAAGAACTGTCTTGAATAGTACACACTCTGATCCTGGGAGCTATTTTTTTGCACGTCGTACGACATTATAGCAGCATTAGGTTCATATTTTTTCAAAAGATTAAAAAACCCTTTAGCACGGGTAGTGTGAACAGTGTATTCTGCTTTAAGCGTTTGCAATATTGCTTCATTTTTTTTAACTTTAATTTTTTCTTTGTACTGAAGGCAGATTGAACACACATCTGTCGAAGGCCTTTTAAAGCTAATGTTGAACCTAGTGACGAATATGTGTCGGAAAAATGACTCTTTAACTTTAAATTCATCAACAACGGATTCTTCGTACATCTTCCACATTTTAAAAATAGACGAAGTGGAATCAAGATGAATACGAGTACTCCTCGCTCTACTGTAATGTGATTATGTGCCTTTAAACTGCTTTACAAAATGTATTACAGAATCAATTTTTTTCTGATATATGTTAGCCTTCCTATAACCACCTCAAGTTTCCACGGGGATGTGACATACGTCTTTTTTAAATCTTGTCAAAACACCTTCAACTCTGTGTTTTGTGATTCCCAATACATTAATAAACGTGTTCCTAGATATCTCTAATCTATTTTCTGCTGTTGTTTCAATACAATATTGGCAGGTTACGCCTTTAGTATGTCTTGATCCGTCTCCTGGCCTGGTTCTTTTTGGTTGTTCTGCTGTGAAATACTTAAGAATAAGAGCATCTTGGCTGGCTTTTGTTTTTTCAGAATAAAATGCACTATAAAACCTATTTATATCTTGCATCTTCAATAAACTGCAATTTTTCTTCCCTCTGTGGTCACATGAAGGAGCATCAGGTAATCCCTTTAAACTATACCTAAAACAAACATAGGATTTAAAACCAAAATACAAACTGTTTTATGTCAGGGAAACTTATTTTATTCTAACATAAGTTAAAGAAAAATAAAAATAATGTGAAGTGTGAATAGGTTAGGCCTACTAGAAATTGTTCCATTTTCACTCTAATAACTAGGCCTAGGCCTAAGTAATAGTAATTTTAAATGAATGTTATTTAAGTTTGTCTATTAGTTTATTCAATGTTAGGTTATGGTTTAATACTAACCTCAAAATCTTCTGTTTGGCTCTTTTCCAATTTGAAGGATTTGGTAGTTTCTTTCTTCCATTCAACAAAGGAGATTCTTTAACATTAGTTCTTTCCATGTTATTTCTGCAGGTTTATTACAGTAATATCTTTTTAGTATATTAGTAAAACTTTAAAATACTAAACAATAAAACAACGCTAGTCACAATACACCAGAATAGCTCAGTTACAGTTACAGTGACGAAATCGTAACATTACATTAGGCTTTGTATATATAATTTAGTGCAAGAGCTGGTTAATTTGATAAGGAACAAATATTTATTGTTTCAGTATATCCAGAGTTTATTTTCGTGCAAATTAAATTATGTTTTAAAATCTAAAACACCTGAGTCATTCCTTTATTTAAAGTAAATCTACAGAAATTTTGTAAAATTTGGAGTCTCTAACGAAAATAAGTTTTTATCAGTTACCGACATTCCGAAAGGCGGATTTCCGTCCCTCCCACTACCCTTAGCTTCAACATTGCTCCGGGTTGTCAGATTCCACGACTTCACTGGAAACTTAATGTCATACTCACTACCACATTCCCCGATAAAGGTTATTACGAAAACGTGCAACGTGCTCCTACGATTGCCCTCCATTCACGTACGCCGGAGGAGGTTTTTTAGTTCAGTAAAACTACAACGCGAACAAGAAAAAAATTATATTAGATTATAATAAACTGCCACTTAAATGTTAACTTCCTAAGTTTACGGTCATAAAATGAGAAACGATAAAACGGCCAAATAAATGTAGTCAGTGATGTAATGCAACTTCGATTTAAAATAAGAAAAAAGAACTATTTATTCAAAAAGTTGTTGAGCTTACTTACAATAATATTATACTAGAAAATATATTACACTACAACTACAAATAATCACCTTTCATACTATCTGTTTTTAGGAAATATACTATCTGTTTTTTAAATTTTAACATTTATAGTTACAACATAGTTTTGAAATACAATAATTCTTAACAATTCATTTTATAATTGACTTTTTTATGATAACTTTGAAAGTACATTAGATAGAGTTAAAATACGCAGTTAGTAGTCATGTGAAAATTAAAGAATTAAAGTTAAGTCAATAAACCAAAGTTTAAAATATTATATTTTTATGTGACGAAAAATGGCTCTTTTGATGCTAGAATTAAAAAGGTTTTTAAAGAAGACTGATTTCTAGACGAGGTTGGGCCTCTTGGGCTTGGGGAAATTTTGACAGAGTGGAAAAATTTTGACGTGTGTTGTCACAAAATGGCGGCTTACAGCTGTCAACTGTTATGTCACCTGTCATCCTTCAAACGTGAATATGATGTCAATTCTTCTTCTTTTAGTCTGTGATCCCTCAAACGTGAAATTGGCGTCAAGTCTTCTTCTTTTCGTCTGTTATCACTCAAACGTGAAAATAGCACCAATTCTTCTTTTTTCGTCTATCAAGCTTACGTAGCCTTATGTTCTCCAACCAATACGTATTCTCATGTACCCTACACCCCGAAAACTACGTACCTTCATCTCCTCCTTTGATGTGGAGGCGGAACGGCTCATCAAATCGTGACGTATGAGGTATCGTTGACTCAAATTACTTTGAGATGTATGTCTCGTTATTGTAATAACTAATAAAAATCTTAAGTTTTATAACAACCATTTTACACTCTTCGTGTTATACGAGTATTTAATATTTTTTATTTGCCGTTAAAAGGTTGTATGTTATAAGTTATTGGCAATGTAAACAAGAGAAAATTTGTTTTTTGATGGTACCTATATTTAAATTAAATATCAACTCGTAATTTTCAACAAAATAATCGCTATAAATAAAATAAAATAATTAATAATTAGTTACTGAATATTTTGAGGGTGACAAAGTTGTAATTGTTTATAGTAACGGTGAGCATACTATATTGATCTGGACAGATAGCAGACAAGCGCTACTAACCTTGGATAGACCACGTGTCACATCAGGGTTAGTAATGAAGTGCACGAATCACTAACTCAGGCTTCATATGGTAATACCATCATCCTGTGGTGGTTTAAAGGACACAATAGGAATAAAGGCAACCGCATTGCTGACCAATTGGCTAGAAAGGCGACAACCCTAAGACTCTTAGGACTTGGAGATATTTTTGGTTGGTGAACTAGAACAATCGATTGTAAACATGCATATCTATCCCCTGTAAAACTTTAGTAACTTTCAAATGCTTAATCGGCCAAATATTAAAACAACATTTTAACTATTTTGCGTTTTGTACATAAGTTCCGTACAAAACTGTTGTAAGTCTAATGTAACAAAGTTACAACAGTTTTGCACGGAACATTGGAATGGTTTCGATAACAAGCAATGAAAGGCACGAAAAAAGTAAGATATTTGTTATTTTAATATCGATATTAGTGGCGTTTAATTTTAATATACAGCGTGTCTACGTAATCCATTAACGGCTGAGACAATAAACAATTATTTATGAGCCCAATCTATTCATGTAAGTTTTATGTCCTTTGTGTGACATTATATTTTCCATAAAGTGTGTGCGATATCGTTTGACTATTTATTTATTAGATTGGATTAAAAACACATAAATTAGGACTAATTGTTTCTAGCCAAAAAGTATTTTTTATGAATTGAAAAAACAGTTGTCTTAAAACTTATGTATTAACAATACGGAGAGGTGAAAAATATCTATTCTCAGAAAACTTGTTCTATAAAAACTAAATCCCAAATTGTACTAGCAGGCAGTAAACAATCAGTAAAAACAAAAACAAAAGTAATTTACAATTTCAATCCTTTTGTTAATCACTGTACTCAAGGTAGCCTGATTTGCATATTGTTAATATAGTCCATTTCTTTTGAATGTAAATAAAAATATTAAAAGTTTAACAAATAATGTTTCTACCTTATTACATTGTCATTACAAATTAAAGGAATTGTGGCTATCAGAAACATGTGCAGAGATAGAAAGATTAACATGCCGCTAGCGATAAGCCGTTTTATTAGGTACCTATTTGTTCTAGGTAGATATCTGATTTCTTGGAATCTATTAAATGTAAAGTTTAATACCATACTAAACCCCGATTGCTGTTGGAGATTATTTTTTCTTTGCTTACACGATGATTTATTAAAATTTAAGTACTATTGTTCTAATCTTTAGTACTATTCTTATCGTTGTTGGGGATTGCTTTCTCTTTACCTCCCCTGATTAACTCATTAGAAACGAGTTCTCAGGAAAAAAGTAGAAGTAGGTGCATTTTAGTAGTGTAGTTTTTAATATAATCTGTTATTGGCCCTTGCAAGTGATAGAAGCAGAACGAATTCGAAAGTGTCAAAATTTAATAGTTCCTGAACATTGAGGATTTTATCCCTGTATGCGCAGACAAGTGAGGATAGCAACATCATGCAGAGTAAGTTAAATTTAACCTAATTGTTGTATGTATTATAATGTACAAGAAGTGCTACTTAAACCTGCCTACAAAGAACAGCAAAAAATTCAAATGGCCAAAAAGAAAGATTTGGTATAGTTATGTCATTCGGGTATAATACCAGAAGCCCATGGTTTTGATAAAAGATGATACACGAGAAGAGGACAAGAACTTACAGAAAATGTTTCTACAGTTTTTACAATTTTCTAATTGTAAAAGTGTTTGAAATTCCTAATTTTTTAGCATGAATATTATTTTATTTAAATTTCTATTTTTGGTTAATGTAATATAGGCTAAAAAACGTGCAAAATCATAATTAAATGGTAATTTTTCTTAAAACTTGTTTCTTATTTCATCGATATAAGCATGAAAATAAACAAAATCATCTTTATCTCGAAACTTACTTATTCTGATTTACTGCAGTCTTGCACTGAGGGTGCGATATTTACTTCCTTTAAACAGATCGAACTTGAGTTACAACCTTATTCGATGGGGGTGTAATTATCATATTGCATTACTTTAAACTGTTACAGAAACACATTTTCGTATTGGCAAATTCTGATAAGAGTGTAATATTAATAAACATCTTAATATTTCTAATAATAAACTTATTAATATAACACAACTTTCACTTTGTGGCGCTCCCACCATTTTATATAATTTTTCATACTAGCTCACAACAATAATTATGATTCGTTTTCGAGAAAATTATCAAACACATAAATTTATTTTTGCAACTTATGCTACTATTAAACCCAAAAATAGGGATTGAAGCTTTTTAACAATGCAGTTTAGTTCTGGTCGCTGAATGGTTGACTGACGTAGGTGCTATAATTAAGACTTAAATGAAACATAGAACTGGTATTTCCATCAATTTATAAAAATCATATTGTCTCTGTATTTTATTGCATTACTTGAAATTATTCGAGAACCAAACCTTATTTTTTTTTGGTTCGTTTGAAATAAATTTTTAAAAAAGAGGTTAACTCTCTAAAGTTTGTTAATATTAAAGTTAATTAGTTTTTTGTATATCTCATAGTCTTCTCATTTATACTTAATTTTTTTACTGTTATTTTTTGTGCATGTGAAAAAACAATTATAAAATATCCTCTATAAAACCTTATCAAGTTTTGACACGTACACATTTATTAATATTCATTACTATACTAATTCACCCCAATGTTAAATCTGGGACTATGTTTATTATATAATAAAGAACCAAATTAGTGTTAGGTCAGTTTTACGGCAGCTAGAGGGCTGACGGACCATAAAATCTTTTTATTAGTCATGCAAAAACCCGAAAAGTAGCTCAAATTTTTATTATCTTCGGTGGTCGTTAAACTGTATTATCTGCAAAAAATGTACTTGGGCTAGACAAATTTATTTTTTGATGGTGGACCATAAAAAGTAAACAAGGAGTATACTCACGTTATGAGAATATTTGCAAATTTTATATTTAAAAACATTTTAATTATTTTCGCAGCATCTTCTGATTTATCATAATAGACTAATGAAGATACATTTGCAATCAAAAATAACAACTTAATAAATTTTAAGATTAAATATTTTTCAAGAATTAATAAGCATTAAGACTGTGGGTGATCCTTCAATGTTGAATTTATTGAATTTTCGATTCGCTATAAATGACAGTAAATTCGCCATTATACTTTTTTGTTTATGTTCTACTGTCCTAGAACTAAATATGTAAAGAAACGACCGCTAGCTCTGGGCAATTCTTAAATAGGTACCCATTTACGAAAAATCTCCCGGCTGAATTCCTTTACCAATTAGGAAAATTAGATAAAACCGTTTAAAATTATAAAAAAAGGCTCATAAAAAGGCATGCCCCTATCGCAAAATGATAGGTATGTTCGGGAATTAACACAAAGGAGACGAAAGGAATATAATCACTATCTTTAACCCTATATTGCCAGTGTACTTGAATTTGACGTATACGAATTCAAATTTAGCGCGTAAAACTTTTGCCGCCTGTTTGATTAAGCTCATCTGTCAGCTATACTTTCACTCTCTTCGAACTATCCTGTCAGTATGTTTAAATTCGTAACGGAGGGCGTGTCGTACCAGTCAAGTAGTGATAAATTTATAATTTGTTTATACGTTCACTCGACGTAGCCCTAGCAATAAGCGGATACATTTTAAACGTTGAAGGAGAGTATAACTTGTAGCATTAAAAAATTTCTGGATATATATATATATATATATATATATATATATATATATATATATATATATATATATATATATATATATATATATATATATTGAATCCCCTCATATATATTTAAATTTATTTAGTGTATTTTATTTCATATTCGTACAAGTTAAAGTACCCAAAAGTGTTCTCAATCCTTTTATTTGCATCGCTGGAGATGATATAAACCATTTTATAGTTTGTTTGTATTTCAAAGATGCTTATTTTTTTCGGCACTTCCTTTAATCGAAGCTGCCTTGGGATTTTTGTGCGTCAAAGAAATAGGAATTTAACCGTATTTGTTTTGTTTATACCAAATTAAGCCAATTTTTTTAAGAATTAACATTCTCGCTGAGGTCGCTGCCAGAGGCAGTTGATTTTAGCGTGGATCCAAATTGTTCTTCAAATTAACAATACGAATAATTGAAATACATCCCACATTATAACTAACTCAGTTTAGTCCAAATTATTGAACAAATTAAGGTGATTCTTTGGCAACTGAACATGTACATTTTATAATCAAACGTATATCAAATTTACAAAAAAATTTTATTTTTTATTTGAAATTATTATTGCGAGTTATCTGTCATGGTGTTTATAAATATTTTAGATATTTAAGTAATGTTTTTTGTATTGTTCGTCTTATGTTATGGGAACAATGGATACAATGGCTATAATGGCAACCACATGTTGCCATTGTGTCCAGTTGTAAGAAGCGAAGTCGTTTAGTGCCACTTCAACCTCACTTATTTGCCCCTGGTCGTCTTTAGGGAACATTGATGCAGTCCTTTTGTTCGTACGTAGCAGTAAATCCCCACTATAATGCCAGTTCTACCCCAAAATTTTTGTGTAAAACCCCATTGCAATCCAGGTAACTTTTTTTGTGTTAAAATTTAAAGTAAGGTAAGACATTTTTTCCATAATAATAATTTGCTTTCATAACAAAAAGAATTTGTAATAATTAATATTGTACTATCTAATCACATTTGACATTAGTTTGCTGTGTCTTTTTTAAAGAAGGTTAACCTTAATGCAGTAACAATTGTTTGTAAGTTTTGTAGCATCTTTCACTTGTAAAAAAAAAAAAAATTTGTAAACGAATAGGACGAAGTAAGTGTTTCTCTTTGTTATTTTTTTATTTACCTTTGTAACAATTTATTTAATAATTATTTTTATATTGTCTATTTTTGTAACGGTTTGTGGTGACACAATAATAAATGATTTTTTTTTAAATAATTTTTATATTTCTCTTAACTAACTCTAACCCATGAGTTGCATTTAAACTACTTGAGTTTCATTTAAAAAGATATATTTTACAACTAGTTATTGTAATCGTAAAATTATAATTTGGCATTTCAGAGCAGCGTCCCATTTTAAATAGCTAGAGGTCTTTCCTGTTGTTTCGTTTGTTCCAAGAGACTTATGTACGTACCCCTTTGTTTCAGTTTTTTAGTTGCCCTAATTCAACCCCTTTGTCATTCAACGTATCCACGACCCAGTTATTCCAAATAAACCTTGAGTGCCGTTTGTATCAGTATTGTTTATTTTGCTTGCACTATCCACCCCAATAATTTCTGTCCCAAGATTTCAACCTCCATAATAATACCCAATGGGAAGGCAAAATGTTTCGTTACAAACTGGCAAAAGTAACGCTTTTTTTAATATGCTATTTTCCTAGTCTGTAGTTGGTACTTATGGGTTGAGGAGGTTGAGGAGGATAATGTGGCAGTAAAAGATAGTGCAGATTCAGACGATGAAAACCTGGATGACGGTTTGAATGATCCGAATTTTTATCCCAAGGTTCGTGAAATTTATGATGATAATATCGCTTTTCTAGGACAAGATAAAGTTAACGCGATATCCTCAATAACATCAGGTAAAAGAAAAAAAAACAGAAAAGGATACTGAAATTACGAGAAATGTTACAGACCATGAACTTAATAAAAAAACCAACTTAAACAGAACTATTTGGAAAAAAACGGGTAGAAATGGAAAATATATAATTCATATAGTAAAATGCCAAAGACGATGCGTGTACATATAAAGCCAGGACCCACACCAAACACAAATTATACTTTCGATGTCCATGAGTGCTTTAATTTATTTATTGATACGGAAATAAAAAACGAAATCATCGAGGAAATTGGTCGCCAATAAATAAAGTACAAAAATCGCACAGACTCTTTTGTAAAAGACCTGTGCCAAGAACAATTACATGCATTATTTGGTCTGCTAATAATGTCTGCTATGTTAAAAGCTAACGACCTACCCGGCGAAATGTGGTTTAACAGTGAGTATGGCGGTAATAGATACAAAGGTACCATTTCGAGAACAAGGTTTAATTTTCTTATAAATTGTTTAAGGTTAAACAACAAAAATACACGTGAACAGGATATGCTGTTAATCAATTGTAGGAACAATTATAAACCCAGCTCATATGTCACGATAGTTGATCAACTAGTTGGTTTTAAAGGTCTCTATTTTTTCGTTTGTACATACCTTATAAACCTGATCGTTATGGAATTAAAATAGTGACAATGTGTGACAATTCAACAAGGTATATAATTAATGCCATCTCTTATCTTGGTAAGCAAGCAACATATTTAGGGAAACCAATAGTAGACTACTTTGTTAAAAATTTTGTATCGTCAATAAAGAGATCAAATCGTAATGTTACTATTGATAACTAGTTTTATAGTATACCCCTAGTAACAAACTTACTTGCAAAGTACACACTTACTGTTATTGGGACTATGAAGGAGAATAAAAAAGAATTACTCCCCGAATTTTATGACATTCGTATATCATTAAATGAAATTATTATAAATCAACAAAGGACGAGCAGACTCATTTGCTCACATGTGCCATAATATGAATTGCAACAGAAAAACTAGAAGATGGTCGCTACGTTTCTTTTATAATATTTTTAACATTGCATGCATTAATTGTTATGTAATTTATGAATATAATTTTTATCGAGCTAATAAAAAGACAAGCCTTTAAGTAGATTTAAATATATGTTACAACTAAGTAAGAACTTAACACAGCAATGGCAAAAGCAGAGACTGGCGATTCCAACTCTAAGCCGTCAGTTGAGAACAACCATTACTGATGTATCCGGACGAAAAACAGAGCAGACATCTATCTCAGAAGAGACTGCGGAAGCATCTATAGAGTACTGTTATCTCTGTCCATATTATAAGAAAAGGATAATAAAAGTAAAATGCCTCATATGCAAAAAGCACATTTATGGTGAGCATTAAAATAAGAGATGTCCACAGTGTTGAAAAACTATGAAGAATTTTCTACATCAATCAAGCAGTCTGTTTATTTTTTTAAGTTACCTACTGTCTTTTTTATTATAAAGATTAGCATGCTTTTTCAATAAATCTAAAAATAAACTGTTTCCAATTTTTAAAAATGTCACGTAAAATTTACGTATGCCTGGCAACAAGCGACTACCGGGTTATAGTGGCAATTTAGGATTAAAAATTAAGTTAGTAGTTTACTTGCCCAACAATTTACAAAACGTGACAAATATTTTGACTATATTTCTAAAAGAGCTATTCCACTCTAAACGGCAAATTTTTTAATATTAGTATCTTACCAATGAATGTCTCGACGGCTAAGAAAAAATTGATGATAAAGTAAAAAAGTTTTTCTTCAAACGTCACATAATGATGACATTACTTATCTAACTTGATCCTGTCAAAGTTTGATGTCTCCGCCGGCAGCAGTTTTTTTCCCATTTCTTTACGGCCCGGCGGAGGGAAAAATGTTGTCATGGCAACAATATAAAACATGTCACAAAGCAAATACAAATGTTATTAACAACAATTAAACATCATTTTTATTTATAGTAATATTAAAAGTACAATTAGTTAATGAGGCATTTTTAAAATTGAAACCGTGCAAAAATGTTCCCGACTTTTGATACGCATTGGTAATTGTTGATGATACTGATGGTCGAGAACAACTTTCAGCAATCATTCCCGATGTTGGCGAATCATGAGGGTTTAAAATTTTTTGAGCATAGTCTTTCTTATTTCATATTGAATCCTCTATATATCCTTTGGCAACCGTGCTTGATTTCCAGTCCCCATGTCGTTTGAGGCATTCTAGATTTCCGCCTCCATCAATTAAAAGTGTTGCTTGTAGTAAAAGTTCGTCGTAAAGAGTGACCCGTGTATGCGCTTACATACTTACTTACTTTATATTTACTTACTTATATTTATTTACTTACTTACTTTATATTAAAATACGTCAGTAAAACTTCTTCGGTAACTTGCCGTACTCCTCTTGTATCGCACCACTCTTGGAAGTGCTTGTACGCCAACCGATACTTTATTCCGGACTTGGAGGGCCCCAAACGTGCTACTGCATCATTAGCCGCTGACTCAATTTCGTTTAGGTTTTCCATTTTCGCACTAAATTTGCGCTTGCGGTTGCAGCAACAATAAGCTGTCTTTAATAATTGCAAACAACTGTCAAACTGTAACCAGGGAGACGCAAATCCGGCCGACGACTTAATTATTTTAATTTCTAACATCTAGACAACTTTGATAGTTGTCACAGTTAATTTCGAGTAAAAATAGCGTATGAATTTTACTATTTATGGTTGAAAATTGCTACGTTTGAAGAAAAAATAGTATACTTTATTCGGCAAAGAAGCAACTTTTCTTGACTTGCCCTCTATTACGGGCGCGTCAATTCGTCTATTACGCGTCTAAGCGCGTCTATTACGTAATATCGGGCGCGTCAAGAAAAGTCATGCTTCTCCGCCTCATAAAGTAATATACTATTATTGTGTAATCGGGTAATCACAGTTATATTGAGAGACTTTAATACGAAAATAAAAGAGAGTCAGCGCATAAGCATTATTGGAGAATTTGGACTAGGAAATACATATAAGAGTTGTGACAGATTATATAAAATCACATGGGTCACATAATGCAAAGTTACTGAAAAACCAACCAAACCTAAGTAAACTATATTTTGGTAATTAAACGTCTTAAAAAACTGCATTAAAATTTTAAAACTAGAATAGTTTTATTCTTATTAACGTATTTCTTATTAGTTACAAATCTATACCAAAAAAAATTATATCATTTTGTAGATAAACTGACGAAACTAATTTGTACCAAATTTCCATTTCCATTGTAGTATTTTCCAAGATTGAAAAACTTTTTGACACAGACACGGCCTAATTTTAAAACTCCGCTTGGCATTAACGACGACATGACAAGGAAATATTTTATAAAAAAGAAACTCAAAATATGTTCTGGAAAGTTGGGTTAATAATTGTCAGTTGAATTTAACAAAGCGGCTTTCAATCGTTTTCGGCTTGACTAGGGCGATGCCAAATCAATATGTACTTAAGTAGACGATATTTTATATACCAAAATGGTTAATAATAACATAATTGATTTTTTTTGTAAAATATTTATTTTATCATATTTTTTTTTGATCTTCTTTTCATTCATTCTTACACGTAGATCCCACCATTCTTTGCTTATCCATTATTCAATGTTCTAGTTTGTATATCACCTACCCACCTTATAATACGTATTATTCCTATTTTTTTAATGATAATAATAACACATCTCTGAAGCACTTATGCACAATAATAACATAAAAATATATCCACGAAGATCATACACTATTTTCAAAACCCTCAATAAATATACTATTATGATCTGCGTTTCTTGCTTATTATATGATTAAGCTAACTTTTATTTAATAACTTAATTAATTAATTTAATTATTAATTATGGCAGATTAAAAATAAATATAATTATGCAATATTTCAAAATCCGCAGGGCTTATTATTCATATTAATTACCTTTATTTCGTGGCTATTATTTATAGCTTTATCCAGTATAAACAAGAAAAATAATTATAGTAAACAAAAATTATAAACTTTTAAGTACCATTTATTTATGACACCAGAACCATAAAAAAGATTAAATATTCTAACTTTTATTATGTAAAAACTTCCTTATATAATGACCAAAAAAAAGAATCTTTAATTTTGTTTCATTAAACCAAAATTATTTGACCAATTTTGTGAAGTTTCTACTAATCTACTTTACTTTCAAATTAATCAACTCGGATGGATGAATTCTACTTTTTAAAACAATTACTTTATAAGTCAAAGAATTCTTGAGCTTTATATCAGAGTAATAATAAATTTATATGGCTATAAGAAACAACATGGTATGCAATACAAAAACAACACTTATGTCACACATACTTTGACTGACCTTTAATGTAGGCTTTGCGATATTTTCCGACAGATACTTAGTCTCCTTGACTGTGTTGTCACTGACACTTTTGGAGAACTGTCCTAGTTCTTCAAAAAATATGCTAATCTAATTCTGCAAATCTGCTTTCTTCTTTTACAATGTTTCTAAAGAGCACCCGTTCGGATTCTCTTCAGAAATCAAACCAAATCAGACTCCTTTAAATTAAGATCAGCAATTTTTAGGTCAAAGGATTTTTCTCCTCGACTTAATGTGTTGTGATAATTTTATACAATGTTTCCTTTCTTTATTCACAGAAACTGGAACCTCTTCGGACACAAGAAATTTGGAATTGTTGGCTCGGTCTCTTTTCGTCTTTCACGATTCTGCTATCACCCAATTAAACACACAAACACACAACTTTTAATAAACTGTTTTCAACTGGACTGCTTGTTCTGGATGGTAAAAACACAACAATAAAAACATTCTCGTTTAACAATCGTAAAATAGTTTCGAAACACAATTCAGATTTCTGCTTTTATCTGTGCTTTCTAAAAATTGCAAAGCAAAACAGACGTTGATAAAGGTGTTAAAAGAGACGTGGGGAATCTAAAATTTGCATTCCACGACACATCTTTTCAACTAAGCAGAAATCCTTAGCGAATTGGTTTCTTGTACTCGTACAGAGTAAATCCGAAAAAAGTGAAAAAGACAGCAAATATTTGATTTCACGCAAACAGCGCCTTTGTATCTGTTGATACGTATTTCGACCTAATAGGTCTCATCAGAACAGTTATTCAAAGGTGTTCTCAACGTGAAAGATCAATATTTCCTGTCTTTTAAGAAGCAACAATAACATGGCTTCGAATACGGACGCACTAGCGACATCTAATTTAACAATCGTAAAATAGTTTCGAAACACAATTCAGATTTCTGCTTTTATCTGTGCTTTCTAAAAATTGCAAAGCAAAACAGACGTTGATAAAGGTGTTAAAAGAGACGTGGGGAATCTAAAATTTGCATTCCACGACACATCTTTTCAACTAAGCAGAAATCCTTAGCGAATTGGTTTCTTGTACTCGTACAGAGTAAATCCGAAAAAAGTGAAAAAGACAGCAAATATTTGATTTCACGCAAACAGCGCCTTTGTATCTGTTGATACGTATTTCGACCTAATAGGTCTCATCAGAACAGTTATTCAAAGGTGTTCTCAACGTGAAAGATAATAATAATAAAAATAAAAATAAAAATAAAAAATAAAAACGTTTATTGCCATATCTTCCATATAATTAATTTCAAAATTTTAGCCTTCTTTCTTCAGCGTCCCGCTCTTGCACCGCCATCTTCTGAGTCTTCTTCCTCTCGGGTCCTGGATCTTCCTAGGTGGTGTCCTCGTCTGCTTCTGTAGGTACTGTATTCGGCAAACGTACCTACTTCCCTGGAAACCTGGCTAATGGATCATGTGGTCGATGAGTCTATGGGTTTCTCGGTGTATCCTCTGGATCCTGTTTTTCTCGAGGATATCCCTGGTTTTCCGTAGTCTTCTTGTGGCCTGGTTGAAGAACCATCTGGTCCTGTTCTCGGCCACCTCCCTGAGTGGTGTGTAGCCTAGCCTGTTCTTGATTGTTTCATTGGTAACTCTATCCTCCCATGATGTTCCGTCGATGATTCGGTAGCATGAATACTCAGTTGATTCTAACTTTCTCCAGTTGGATTCCGCAATGGAGCTCCAAACTGGTACAGCATACAGAATCACCGACCTAACATATGCTTGGTAGAGTTGTATCTTCTTCGCCTTGGATAGTGGACTGGACCTGAAAATATAGGGCAGTATCAGTTTTTTAGCAGCATTAGCTTTTACCTTAGTTTTTTGTGTATGCATCCGGAAGGTGAGTCTTCTGTCGAGGTGGACGCCTAGGTATTTGACGGTCTCTGATTCCTGAATTATGTAGCCTCCTACTGTCAACTGGTTCCGTGGTGGTCGTTTTTCTTGTGTAAATATGATGAACTGCGTCTTCTCAGCATTGATCTTGATTTTCCATTTTTCCGTGAAGTCCGAGATTTTCTCCAGGTGGTTCTCCATGTCGTCTATTATTCTTCCTTCATCTTTTCCGGATGCATACACTGCTGTGTCGTCTGCGTAAAGAG